CCAAACAGAGGAACTAGACTCACATCTTCTGTGTGCGACCCTTACAGTATTGCTAGATCCAATTGCAATAATTTTTTAACAAGTTCTGTTGATTACCTTTGACCAAAAGGATAGTAAGGATACCACATCAACACCAAACCACTACCCCCAGTCTTTTCAATCAAATACTTGTCATGAGCTTCAAAGATGACTTTGCCCCATTACCACTTCAGGAATCTATATAAAGGCAAAGGGTAAATAAGCCAAGCGTCTCTTAGTCGCAGCTGGTGTTCCCAACACACAAATATGTACGCATGTGTACACACTATAATTATAACATAAATAGATCGAACACAGAAGACTCGAAATCAAGCATCCATCGAACTGTGCCAGTTGGCCCGTATTTTTTTCTTCTTTTTTATCTTTGTAAGATATCCCTCGAACTACGGATCCCTCGAACTACAGAGGCTGGCCCTGAAGAATTCGAGCTATCTGTGTTATACACTGTAGAGTGTGTATCCATGGCTGGGTGCAAGACTCCCACAACATCAAATTGTTTAAAACTGGCATATGAGTCAGTCTTGCCCCCAACCATTGTGATACAACAGTACAGTGCTAAAAACTGTCCACGACGGCTACCTTTATTGGTGAGAAGAAAAGGGATTGTTTCAGACAGGAGAACATCTAGGACGGTGTCAACGCAGACATACATCGTGATCATAAATGTATTTCAAAACTGCAATGGGGCAAGAAATGTAAATGATTGAGTTCCAAAATTTACAAAATGCACAGACACCTCAACCAAGCAATGAATCAACTTGTATGGAAAGGTTTTATACTTCTTTTTTTTTTTTTTTTAAACAGCGTATCGTGGGGCTTTAAACACAAGTTTTTTGGTAAAGAGATACATAGAGCAGCCATACCAGACCGTGGCAAATCTCTGTGACTACATGTGTTCTTTTTTTTTTAAGACTCCAAAAACACCCCACTTACACAGGGAATTCTCTTGAGGACAAATGACAGAAATAGGATGGAATTTGGGACATCTGAATTATATATACATTCATTACAACTAGTCGCAATTCGCCTGGTAAGACTTGTTTAAAGCTCCATTTTTTGCTGCTTTGGGAACACTTTTAAAAAGCAACAAATAGTGTATAAAAAAGACATCTTCCGATAAAAATAATTTAAATAATACAGTCGACTACAGATGAGTTGATGTCGTCAGAGAAGTGAAAAAAAATATCAACTCATCCGGAGTTCAACTATCAACTTAACCAGTTGGAACCTGTAACTAAGAAGAGGTGCGGGGGAACCAAGAAAAAGAAACCCAAGATCAACTAAATTAAAGCGAGTTCAACGCAAGTGGACCCAACAGTAAAAATAACAGGAAATTATAATTACAATAATAATGATAAGTAGTAGTAGTAGTAGTGATAGTAGTCGTGGTAGTTGTAGTTTTATTGTTATTATTATCATTATAATCTATGCATCCATAGAGGCTAAAGGCTATAAATGATACATTTCAGCCTCGGTGTTTCAGACAGAAGGAAAAGTCCAAGCTATACAATGTTGGACAGAGCTGAGGAGTTCCTTCGGTGAAGGAAGAAAAGGAGTGAAAAACTAGGAGAAACGGAGGAAACCCTTCTCCTGCCCCTGAAAACTTGAATCCAGATGGTTGTCTCTCTCAAAAGCTAAGCCTTATCCGGACAAAAAATATTCTTAAACACAGACAATAAAGTTCATGGATAAATGAGTAAAGCATAAAAACCATCCACAATTTTTTTTTTTTCCCTTATTGTCTTACCCTTAAAGGAGGGGGAGGGGCTCTCTCATAACTATTTCATTACAGAAGAACCACCTTCTAAACTCTATTTGGTCACCTTTCTGGCATTTTAGTCACCCCCATACCTTTTTTATTTCTGTTATCTCAGAACACTGTTTTTCAAATTCAATATATATACTTTTTTTGATACCTCCACCATTTTTTATCCAATTTTCATAAAACTTTCACAGAATGAAGAGAAGAAGTAAAAATAAAAAACTGTCTTTTGAATTAACAATAACCATTGGTGGTGTCTGGGGTGTGAATTTGCGCAACGTTTTTTTGTTTTTTTTGCAGCTTTGAATGATACCTCAAGAAAAAAATTCATTAAATTCGTAGGAAAATTCAGCACAGAAGAGCTATTGTTCCTTAATATCCATGCAAAAAAAAAAATCTATTTCCATTGAAAATAAATGAAATCTTAAAGTCTGTATAAGACACATTAAACAAAATCCAATATGGCCGCCATTTCCATGGCAACTAAACTTTTTCCAACATTTTTATATAATGGGTATTATTTGAAGAATCCCACCATGCTTGTTGTACGAGTACAAGAATGTAGTGAAATTTGGTCCACAAATAAGCGAGATAGCACTCAGCTGCCCCCCCCCCCTCAAAACCATTAACCCTTTGCACCCTCATCCTGAGCCTAACAGTAACAGACCCTTACACCTGGATTCTAGTACAAGAAATAATTGAAGAATCCTTCAACCATATTTTCTGCCCAATTATTGCAAAGAGGATGCTTTCTGGACTTGAACTATCAGAATCAAACTGAACCCCTGAATCCTTCTGGCACAAAATTCTAAGTCACACCAGTTGCTAAATCATCAGCATCCTTACCTGCATTGGCTCCGATTCCCAACCAGTGTCAAATAAATCTACCATTTTCCACCAGATTATTATTTTACAATGAAATCAGCCTCATTACCATCTGAATTACCTCTCTAAGATTTATCACTTAATCAGCTGTAAATATATAAGTGTGAAACTCACGGCATCCCCAGCTGAGAAACATTTTGTTTCATGTTGGGAGTTTTTCACTTAACTTTTTTAAAGGAAGTGGCTATTCTCACCCCAGGTGAGAATAAAAATACGATCGACCTCTCACCCCGGGTGAGACTTGCCAGCTTTGTCTATTCTCACACGGTGTAATACAAGACCTGTTTTTCCTAATTTCTGAATACTGTCTCGGTGTGGATGATCACATTGCATTGACAAAAAAGAAAGAAAAAGATAATGTTATAGCTCAAAAGTAAACTTATTTGGTCGTCAACAAAGATGCTACTATGGCTATTTCACTTTTCGAATCTACACGGGTCACCATTTTGTTCTGCCCGGAAGTTCTCGCTACTCTTTCTCTCTCTCTCTCTTCTTCCCCCCCTTTCTCTTTCTCTCTCTCACTGCCCACAGCTTGACGCTTTCAATACAAGAGCGCTGGAACTTTTGTTCACGATGAACGTTACACTGGCTGGACAATCACGGTGAACGCACACCGGGGGAGAATAACCAAAAGGCTTGCCTGCGCTATTCTCACCTAGGGTGAGAAAAGAGGTGGCCTAAACTTTACAGAAATCAGACCTCTCTGATAAAATAAAGTAAGGTTATGACCATACATGGCATGGTATATCCAAGTCTGAACTTCAATGGCCCATCCAATACAGTAGAAAAACAAGTGCGAATACCTTAGCAAGGTGCTGCAACTTACATCAGGTCACATATCAGGATCAGGTCACATATATCAGGTCACCGAGACCCTCCTAAATATCATGGCAGTTTCAACTGAATTACCCACTGTAAAATATTTAAAAATACAACTGAACTATACAGACACCTAAGATTTCAATGGATTAGATCTAGTAACAGCCACCATCCCACAGTATTCTATTATTTTATTATTTTTAATCCATACTATGATTTTGGGTGGGGGGCTCGGCTCTCAGTCTCCTAGCAATGGCAATAAATAACGGGGACTGACCCATTGCCCATACATACACTATACACATTTTACATTATAACTGTATTGACTCAATTTCAACAATACAACCTATAACATATATTATTATATCTCGTTTTTAACCTGGGAGTAAACTATCGTCGAGACAGCAAAGGTAGAAGGCTGGAACTGGAAACGTTTTGACAGCAGTCAGCTGAGACGCAAATCGGTATGTTTGGTCTTGGCAAATTGTCAAACTGAAGCGAAAGAGAATCTTACAAATAATGTAGATCTAACCGTAGTGGTCGTGAAAACTGCTATGGTGTTGATAGTTAAACAAAAGAAGGAAGGTTCTATACAGACTACACAGTAGTAATGACTCACCTCTGTATGTATCACGGCGAAGTATGTTCTTGTTGTTATTTTGACGAACAATGTCTTCCTTCTAAAACATTCTACTTTTTAGAATTCTTAATTAACATATAAAAAATGTGTCTACTTATGCAGGAAAGTTATTGACGAAACAAAACACAAAAGAGGACAAAAATGTAGCATAAAGCTCTTTTACTTTTGACATATCAACAGAAATAAATAATGAAATAATCAAAATATTTGTCATCCTCTCAAATTTTGAATATTATTATCCCGATATCAGTGACAGAACAGTTGTTCAGACGAAGCCTACAATTTGGATCAACGAGATTATTATGAAATTGATTTGATAAAACACCGACTGATTTTCTTACTGTCAGAGAAAGTATTTACTGCTGTGTGCTACCAGAGTCACTGCTGCAAAATGTCAGACATACGTGTTTAGAAACAGACGGCGGCCCAGCTTCCGCGATGTTCAAACTTCAAATGTGAACAATTCGTTTTAAATAAGACTCTGACTATAGTTTCTCATTTCCAAATCAGTACGTGTTTTTTCTTTATTCCAACATATGTTTGCGACTGCGTTTTTCTTCAAGAAAGTTGTTCTTCAAAAAGTGGACCGATGATCGATCGCCGAGTCACCCCTCTATAGTCTATACCTTTTAAAAACTATTTTATTATTTGTTATTATAATATATTAAAATCTGATCTAGAAATCTAAATCTAGATCTAGATTAGATCTAGAATCTAGAATCTAGATATCTATATATTTCAAAGCAATAGCAGTAACAGCTGTTGAGTTTCATTCCAGTTTTTAATCTCTCTGCCATTTTCATTTAGTAGATAGATCTATATCTAGATCTATATCTAGAGATCTATATCTTATCTAAAGCGAAGTGGCTAGCCGTACTTAAATACGGCTAGACTGAGAGTCTAGCCGTCCCTGGACCACCTGAATAGTTGCTTCTTACTTACTTTCACTATCAACCCAGTAACCATTGGTAATTGATTATTGGACCATAACCTAAACTGAGTAAGGAACTCGTTCTCTATTCTAAATTCTTCTTGTATTGTAATGTGGTTGAAGTAGGTCTTAGATCTAGGCCAAAGGTTGTTTTGGTGGGTTTTTTGTTATCTTTTACTTTTCCTCCCATCACACATATGATTTAGCCACTAGTTAGGCCTAGGTGTCCATTTTTTATTAGATATAGGGGCCTATATTGATGCGCTGAACACAAATATCTACTTTATTTCCATCGCAAATTAGGCCCAATAGGTTTTTTAAAATATTTGATGGTTTTTAATCGAACATTATAATGCATACTATTTTCCGCAATTTGGACGAATTTAAGGGGGAGGGGGGGGACAGAGGGTAGCGTGGTGGAACCATGGGTCACCTGTCTGATCACAAGCAATGGTCAAAACTTCACCCCCCCAAAGCAGAGAATCTGTGTATGAGGGAGTGAAAGTGAAAATTTACCTTTTTTTATGTGGTTGATTCCTCCACTGCTTTAAAAAAATATATTTGCATACAATTTTTTTCATTCATTCACTCCAGTGTTGTGTTCTTGCAAAATTTATTTAATTGAAAATAGCTTTCAGAACAACTTGATGTGTCTCATTTTGGTTTATCATCTATTTTGCGTCATTTCAATATTACATAATTTTACACAAGAATATGACGTCCCTTCACCCTGGAGCAATCCTTTTACTGAGTTAAGAATGACTTAGGAACTTGAATAGCTGAATGATCCAGCTGAGACTGAGACAACCAAGCTGTTACGCTTTGCTCTCATGAAAATTGTTTTTTTCTTAATGTCTCCTATTTCTCCCTGTCCAGGAAGTTTGGCTCTTGCTGCCAACATGGCCTGTAACAGAAGCAGAATGAAAACTGAAGACGTCAAACCAGACTGGGACACGTCAATATTGATCTCTCAAAAACTGAACCTTAGGCGTCAAAGTGTTTTGAACGTCATTGACCTCCTTGACGATGGAGCCACAATTCCCTTTATCGCTCGATACAGAAAAGACCAGACGGATAATATGACTCCAGATACTCTCCGAGAAGTTGCTTCTGAGGTGGATGAGCTCAGGTATTTTCATTGCGCTTGACTTCAGAGTCTGCCTTGCCTTGCACTGCATTTGCATTTGTTTCTGTTTTAAATTCATTGAGTGAATCATTAACTTGAGGATTTATCTTCTTTTGTTCTACTCAAAAGCTTTCCAAAAAGTTGAAAACTGAATACCAAATTGTGTGTCTGGTAGTAGAGATTTTCACTTCCCTGCAATATTTAGAAAGTCTTTTGCTTAGCATCCTTAAGCTAGTCTTTGCCCATTTTTAAGAACATATATTGGCATTCTAACTTATGGGTCAGTAGCTTAACCTATCATGTATCTAAATTCATTGACTGCTGTTCACAAACTTGAGTTGACTATATATAGGCCTACTTGAAAAGATGTAAGTGAGGCTATGCCAGTTTTAAACTGCTTGCTATTTAAGTCAAACTAGCAGTTTGTTAATTGATTAACGTAATTTCAAAAAAAATTTTTTTTGCAAATTGTAAAAGAGAAAAAAAGCAACATGTTCCAGTGGATAGTCCTCACTTTGATGAGTCAGGCAAATGGGTTTCTAATGAACAAAACAACAACTCATAAATGAGTACTGAAAAAAGACGTATGTTCGAACATGTTAATGATGTGATCATATATAGATCTATATATATGTATCTGTGTCTTGTTCCAGGGCGGTGGAAAGTAAAATTCACAATGTGCATGGAGCGATCTCCAAGCTGGGGAAGATGACAGAGGATCTGGAGACTTCCCTCATAATGTCCACCTCCATTCTGGAAGTGGAGTCTCTGGTGAGTACTTGGAAAAAAAGGTTTCACTACAAAGTGGTGTAACCCACAACCTTATAATAAGACTTGGTCGGCGATATGAAGGAGTTTGCTTGCTCACAGCTCTCACTCCTCATCTCTATTTTAAATAAAAATGAAATCATACTTTTACTTTACTTTACTTTTCCGATCCAGCCCTTGATCCCAAATGAAATCGAAATCATACTCGTGTATGTTCTTATGATCATCTAGTCTAATTGTGCCACTCCTATCTTACACCACATTCTTTTTTTCCTTCAATCAGAGTACATTCTCTTTTATTTTTAAAATACTCCCGTGTTTCCTCCTGAACCCAAGCTTCAAGAGTTGTTTCTCTGCTTCTGCCAAGGTCTGACTCATTAAACGTTCACCAAAAAGCATTTCAGGGAAACGTGTAGCTTGTTCTTTTCCTGTTGTCACTCTGACGTCCAGAAAACTGTCACGAGTTGTTACAGGACTCCAGCATACGAAAAAAAGGTTTTTAATCACATGAACAGCAGCCAGCAATAAATTTGGATGGTGTCTTTTTCAGATACAGATACATTAGTTTTGTGAAACCTAGGCTTTTTTTAATAACGATAGTTATTTAAAGTAGTGTTGTTTGCCCTCCAAAACACTTTGTGCTTGTTCCCTCAGTATGCTCCCTTCAAGCCGGGCCATAAAGGCAGCTACGCAGAGAGAGCCAGAGCCCTGGGACTCGGTGACATGACTACAGCGCTACTCGCTGGCAAGACTGTCAACTTGGCGTCTGCCGTGAGGCCCGGCGAAAAAGGCAAGGCTTTAGAAGTAGTGTTTTTGTAGTTGTTGTAGTTGTGTTTTTGTAGTTGTTGTAGTTGTGTTTTTGTAGTTGTTGTAGTTAAGTGGTGTTTTTGTAGTTGTTGTAGTTAAGTTGTGTTTTTGTAGTTGTTGTAGTTAAGTTGTGTTTTTGTAGCTGTTGTAGTTAAGTTGTGCTTTTGTAGTTGTTGTAGTTAAGTTGTGCTTTTGTAGTTGTTGTGTTTAAGTTGTGTTTTTGTAGTTGTTGTAGTTAAGTTGTGTTTTTGTAGCTGTTGTAGTTAAGTTGTGCTTTTGTAGTTGTTGTAGTTAAGTTGTGCTTTTGTAGTTGTTGTGTTTAAGTTGTGTTTTTGTAGTTGTTGTAGTTAAGTTGTGTTTTTGTAGTTGTTGTAGTTAAGTAGTGTTTTTGTAACTGTTGTAGTTAAGTAGTGTTTTTGTAACTGTTGTAGTTAAGTTGTGCTTTTGTAGCTGTTGTGTTTAAGTAGTGTTTTTGAAGCTGTTGTAGTTGTGCTTTCTGTTGTTACTTTCAATGCTCCCACTCCAAACGGGAAAACAGGAAAAAGCCAAAATTTCAGTTTCAGTTTCCCAGTGGCGACTACACCGCAAGAATGAATGAAAATGAAAATAAAAGCCCTTTGACTTCCCAGCTTTCTCCCTTTTATTTTTATTTTCAAAATTTTGGTAGAGTCGTTTCGTGGGGGGCTTTTTTCCTCATTAATTTAAAAATATTTGTTTGCTGTTTAGCTACCCCAAGATCAAAATTTTAAAAAAAAAAATGTTACTGTAGTTTTTTTCATCTGTAATACTGGTTGCATGTGCTCTGGAAACAGTTTGTCCAAATTCCAATTCTAAATGTTGAATAGAAGAAAGAAAAGACTGTGTGTAGGGACAGTGACACAGTCATTTCTCTCTTCTCAACAGTTTTGTTTTCTTGACCAAGAACGGTTGACCAGTGCAGTAACAATATGTCAGTTGTGCTGACAAAATGAGTTTCTTCTTTCAGATTTTAGCCATGGAAATGGATACATCAACTTAATAGGTGGAGTTTGTACAATTTGTAAGTATGGAATGATAAAAGACACGGTAGACTTGAACAAAATGGCATCAACTAAAAATCTATAAATCTGACCCCAGTGTTGATTTTCAGCCGACATCTCCATTCTTGGATCGCGAGAAGTAACTAATTTTGTCAGCACACCTAACAGTATGGTTTTTCCAAAGTATGTACCTCTGAGGTTTTCCCTTTGTCTTTGTTCAGCAGGAGATAAGTTTGTTCCCTCAGTCTGCCCCTCTCCAGCCAGGCCATAAAGTTGGAAGAGATCTATCTAATCTTTCCGTCACTGACTCGTTTTTACCCTTTCCAGCCAGGCCATAAAGTTGGAAGAGATCTAATCTTTCCGTCACTGACTCGTTTTTCCCCTTTCCAGCCAAGGCCATAAAGTTGGAAGAGATCGAATCTTTCCGTCACTGACTCGTTTTTCAGGTGTTGAGTCTGTTGGGGAAGTGGAGAAAGGTGTCAAACATATCGTAGCTGACATCGTGTCCAAGGATAAGGAGATGATGGACGTGGCCAGAGAGCTGTGAGTATACACTGCTTTGTTCTCACTGGCTCTTTGAACTCTCAGGGTGGTTGGCGGGTGCTCTGGTGTGGTTTGCTTCTTCTTTCCTATCAAACGTCTATCGTCCTTATCTCCCCTTCTTCTTTTTTATGTTTGTTACTCTCTTGTAACACCTCTAATCTTTTGGCGCTCATATGACCTTATGCAGTTGCGAGTGCCGTAAAACCTCTACTAAAACGAAAACGGACTCTCAGGTTCTTCCTGATATTTATAACACAGGACACTGCGCAGTGGCGGCCAGCAATGACATGTTTGTACAATTGTTTTGTATTAGTGTGATATTGTGTGTGTATGTATGAATGTATGTATGTATGTATGTATGTATGCATTTCTAATTATGTATGTATGTATGTATATTTGCCAGAGTAACCCAAATTTCCCCACGAGATCAATAAAAATTTTAATAATTTATTTATTATTATTTATTATCTTTTTAACATATTTTGTGTACAAAGTGTGACTCATGCTCCAAGGTAACACAACTCTGAAAAACCTATTGATCTCTTTTTACTGAGTTCTTGGCAAGATCTTAGGGGTACTTGTCGGTAACTGCTTCAACCCTCATGCATAACCTTACATCCCATGAAGCTGTTATTTCTTAATTTAAAATCTTGAAGAAGAAACTCCTGGGAAGTAGCATTTGTGAGACATGGTGGTGGAATCAGGCTCTCGTCAAAATAATGACTTCAAAGATATCAGCATTTTTCCTCCGGTTTGGCAATTTTTTATAGAATTGTTGGGTTTTTTTGGCAAAACTCCTTTTATCATTTAAAAACAAATTTCTCTGGGGATTTGACTGAAAAAGGATTAAAGGCACAAAAAATGTAAATTTTCAGTTTCAAACAGCTCTCAAGCTATGGAAGTCACCAAACTTTGGAGGCCAATTTCTCGCTAATTTTGTCTTGAAACCAGACTACCCCCGCCTGCTTCAATCGCAAACATCTCAGCTTTTGTACAAGATATATGGGTATTTTTTTCATCCAACGATAGGCAAATGAACAAGCTTTAAGGGGATAGCAATAACTCATCATGCCCAAAAATTGACGAGCATCTGATTCCTGCACGTCGTGCCACATTTATTGTGAATCTCCTCAGTGTGCTTGCTGTACTAATGACTAATAGAATCATGATGTACCTTGTTTGTGATGCCTCTGTCCTTGTTTGACCGTGACCCATTTATTGTGAATCTCCTCAGTGTGCTTGCTGTACTAATGACTAATAGAATCATGATGTACCTTGTTTGTGATGCCTCTGTCTTTGTTTGACCGTGACAGGTGCAACAATCTGAATGTCATGCTGGAGAGTTCAAAGGCCAAGGCTAAGGCTAAGAATGCCACAAAGAAGGACAGTAAGTCTACCAAGGGAGCGATTGGCCCTGGGAAGGACAACGACTCTGCTGCTAACAAGTTTGAGCAATACTTTGACTTCAGAGTGTCTGTCAAGTCAGCCAAGCCTTATCAGGTGCGTAAGTCAAAGCGTAACTCTCAAAACTTCACAGCACGCTTAGAGCAGTCAGTTTGAATGTTTTTGAGCAGTCAGTTTGGATGTTTATGTGGTTACTTTGTCAACTTGTCATGGAAATACTAATAGTGTATTTTGATTTTTTTTAAATATCTTTTTTGGGGAAAGGAAGAAGAGAGGGGGGAGGGGGTGTTACTTTTTGCTGAGTACTTGACTTAACTTTAGCAGCTTTCCTTTTGCTGCTATAGAAGAATTTCTATGATAAATATGTGCTTATGTAGAGATAATTAGTTGTGGACAAAAATCTGAAAGGTGTCACTGTTTTACTGTTTTTCTGTCTTCAGCACAGAATGTGATTTATCACATTTGCAGCTGTCTGGGGGAGAGAGAAGGGTGTTCATGTGTGTGTGTATTTGTGCAGTAGTCTGGGGGAGAGAGAAGGGTATTCATGTGCTTGTGTGTTTGTGCAGCAGTCTGGGGGAGAGAGAAGGGTGTTCATGTGCTTGTGTGTTTGTGCAGAGTGTTATCCTAACACAATTCACTTTTTGAAAAAATTTTATTTGATGTAAAACGTTTAGAACACCAATGGGGTGGGCGATATGAAAATACACTTTATTAGTTTTATGAGCTGAACTGAAGCTTGGCTGGTTTTGTTCTCAGATTCTTGCACTGAACAGAGGAGAAGATCTGAACGTTTTGGCAGTGAAAGTTGTCATCCCGGATCTAGTCAAACAGAGATTTATCGACAGCTGCTTGCAGAAGCTGTTCCGGAGAATAGCACGACCAGATTTTCAGTCCCTGATTCGCATGGCAGTTTTGGACGCGTACGACCGGCTGATAGAACCTACGCTCATACGCCACACGAGGTTCTCTGTGCTGTACAAAATGAAACATGTCCTTCCTTGTTGTAATGTACAAAAGTGAAACATGTCCTTCCTTGTTGTGAAAGTGGAATACCAAATGTGAGGCAGCATGGTGGACTCAGGCTCTCAAATTTTCAGTTACCACAGACTCTTATGCTAAGGAAATAACTAATCTTTTGGCTGCCATTTTCTCACTAATTTTACCTCTGAAAACAGGTGACCCCTACCTCCTTCATTCACAAATATCTCGACTTGTATTTAAGAAAAATAGATATTTTTCTAATCCAAATAAAGACAAGTGAACAAGCTTTAAGATGAAACCAATAACTCTACATGCCCAAAAATTGACGAGAGCCTTATTCCACCACGCTGCCTCACATATTGTTTGTTTTTTTCTAGGGTTTTTATCGTTGGCTCTGTCTTTCTGATAAGTTTCATCCAAATAAGTGCATACCAGTTTTACAAGTTTTCTGGCAGGAGCTGTCTTTAATAGGACGCAATATTTAGAAGTATTGTCTTGATTGGTCATAATTTTGGAGGAGATTTTTCGGTATTGTTTTGTTTTTGTTTTCCCTGCCCTAGTTCACATTGCAGGGGTCTTCCTTCTTTGTATGATCAATTCATAAAAAAATACTTTGAATAGCTTTGGTTGGTGGTTGGCGGTCGCTCTGATGTGGTTTGCTCCTTCTTTCTTATCAAACATCTATCATCCTTGTCTCTCCTCCTTCTTTTTTGTGTTTGTTACTCTCTTGTAACGCCTCTAATCTTCAGTGCTTATATGACCTTATCGTGTTGCGAGTGCCGTAAAACTCTTACGAAAAACAAAGAATAGTTTTAACATGATCAAGTATTCATTTTGTTTAGTACTCTCTGGACTATGATTCTGTCTCTAGAAACTTGACGAGTTTCAACTTCCATTCTCCCCTCAGGTCCGACCTGACCAAGATGGCGGAGAAGGCGTCTATATCCGTGTTCACGTCCAACTTGCATCGGCTGTTGTTGACTCCTCCTGTCAAACAGAAAACTATTTTGGGCATTGACCCCGGGTTTAAGAACGGCTGTAAGTTTGCCGTCATTTCCTCCACGGGCGTGATTCTGCACACAGGAGTCGCTTATCTGCACGACTACCGGTCCGATAAATTCGAGGAGAGGTACAGGCTCGCGAGTGTGATCAACACGCACAGGTGAGTGACACGTTACTTTACTGATCACTTAGTCCAGGTGACTGTTAGGGCACCAAGGATGGTCGGGCTACCACTTTTCTCCATACTGCTGTATTTTCAACCTTTCGAAGGGCTTACTCAACTGTAAACCTGTCTATAAGGGACATAAACTCACAGGTGTGATCAACACATACAGGTGAGAGGAAAGTACAAACTCACAGGTGTCATCAACACATACAAGTGGGTGGAATGTACAAACTCACAGGTGTGATCAACACATACAGGTGAGAGGAATGTACAAATTCACAGGTGTCATCAACTCATACAGGTGAGAGGAATGTACAAACTCACAGGTGTGATCAACACATACAGGTGAGTGACACGTTACTTCACTGATCACTTAGTCCAGGTGACTGTTAAGGCACCAAGGGTGATTGGGCTACCACTTTTCTCCATCCTTCTGTATTTTCAACCTTTCGAAGGGCTTCACTCAACTAAACCTGTCTATAAGTGACAAGTATAAACTCACAGGTGTGATCAACACATACAGGTGAGTGGAATGAGGTGGTGGTCTTGTGGAATGAGGCTTGAGATGTTAAACTGCATATATGTGTGTTTGTGTATTTGTATGTGGGTGTGTGTTTGTGTGTATCAATACTACTTTCTTATGAGATACATTTCCTGTTTCATCAATACAAAATAAAACTGGACTAAATTAAACACACAAAAATGTTAGGTTTATAAATCAATTTATGTCTGATTACTTCGTTGGGTTTTCTTTCTTTTTAGTATTTGTGTTCCCATGACCTGTGTGTTGTATCAATGTCTCAGCAGTTTGGCCAGATGTGGACCTGTTATACCCCCCGGGGCGGTGCCACTGACTGAAGTGTCTTTAGGCCATTCCCAAAGGGGGGACATTTCTCGTTCATGCACTGTAGAATTGTAAATGGGCTGATTCATCATGTCACACTCATAACTGCCTGTTCTACAACAGTGAACTGCTGCTTTTTCCTTCCTAATCCTTACTATTGTCATTTTCCTCTACTTCTTTTGTATGTTTGTCACACTCTTGTGACCTGCTATTTGCGGGGTGCCTTGATAGTCGAAGCAGACTTTGTGCTGTTGAAGCTAGAGAGGTGAGCAGAGTAAGTCTGATTCCCTGTAATAAGGACTTCTCTGTTGACATCCACCCCTTGGCGCTCATATGTTCTAATGCAGTTGTGAGCGCTGTAATACTTTACTACAACTAAAACTAAACAGTAGACCTGCTACAGTGGAAACATTGCTTTTCCCTCCAGCTTGTGAAAGCTACACGCTTGACTGAAAATACATTGCAACGTCAGTGCTTTCTTGTCCTATCTCCATTTTATTTTTACAGTGAAAATGTGACTTTTTCTTAAGCTCACTCTTTGTTATGTACTGTTTTCACTGTTATTACAAATGGAGATACAACAAGAAAGCACTGAGTTCGTGATATTGAGGATTGGGTGTTTGAAATGTAGCCTTGGTCATTTGTGTACATTCTTGGCTCTGGAGATGCATTTGTGAACTTATTTTCTTCTAATTTGATGCTCAATTTTACATATATATTTCATGAACAATAAACCCCCACTTGTACTCTTGTTCTCTAGGTGTGAGACGGTTGCTATTGGCAACGGCGTTGCGTGCAGGGAAACGGAGCAAGTCGTCTCAGACCTCATCAAGCACAACTCGTTTCAACCTCTCTCCGTTGTCTACTGGTGGGTGTCTTGTGATATTTCTGCTTTTTGAAGGAGAGGTCTGACTGTACTTCCAGAAGATAATAATGAATAATAATAATTCCATTTATATAATGCGTTTTAGTTTTAGAAAGAGTTTTACAGTTCTTGTAACACAATTATGTCATATAAGTGCTGAAGATTAAAGGTGCTACAAGAGAATAACAAACAGAAAAAAGAAGGAGGAGGGTTAAAGAGGATAGATGTTAGATGGGAAAGGAGTAGACCACACCAGAGCACCTGCCAACCACCCATTACAGCATGCTCTATGCTCTCTACTACTAGTATTACCCCAGCAGACCCTAGATCACTCAGAACCATTCTCAGCTTCCCAGGCAGCATACAGTGCGAGCAGCCAACTAAGTGCTTAGGCACTAACAAACTGATAAAATCTTTCGCTGCCTGTTGCTGGGTACCCATACCCAACTGGGTGAAGTGAAGAAAAATTTTGAGCAGTTGTGAGCTGAGTAGATTTTGAACAGCTTGCTGACGTTCATTCCCCCTTCCCC